ATCTGAAAGCTCTGGAAGGCTGGGCAACCACGGTACTGTGGGCTTTTTGGGAATGAAACTGGCCCTGCCATCATCCTCTCATCCCTTAGGGGAATGTCACCTCCTGTCCCCTAGTTGCTAATTAAGATGGGCTAATTTCTCCTTTAGGGACTGGCATAGCTCTGGCTCTAGCAGTCTGTTGAGTTTTGACTTCTTTATATCAATTGTGGTGTATCCATACAGTGGATCAGAGAGAAAAATGCCCATTCTGAACCTACTGTGGCCACTGGATGAATCTCAGACACACCAGGGAAAAAGTCCCCACATTGGAATTCAGACTGAGTTCACTTACATAAACTTGCCACCTGGGTAAAACCCGTGGGGTGATGGTGACTGGGGAGGGTGGGGCTGGTGATGCTCTTGTAATTGGTGAGGTATTGTGTGGTAATGTTCACTTGGGGAAAACTTGAGCTGTAACCTTATCATCTATGTACTTTTCTGGGTATTGATTCCTTACAAATGTTACCTCTGAAAAAAGGAATTGAGCAAGACCAAGCAGCTTTCCTTCCCTCTTAAGCACCCTGCAAACAAGCCCTTTCCTGGGATGGCCCAGACAGGTGGGAGCCAGAAACAGCCTTCGCCTGTGGCTCAGAGTGTGGGGTGAGGGTGGAGGGGAGCTGAGCTCACAGATCTTGCCTGTCTGATGGATTTCAGAATTCTAGTGTGGCACCCTGTGGAGCAAAGTGGCCTGCTGGGTCAAGGAAATGGCTGGAAATGAGGCCCAAGCATGTTTCCTGGGAAGGATGACAAGATACTAAGCGACCAAAACTCATGTGCCATCTTCCCCACCTGCTAGCAGCCAAGCTGTCCGGGGGGAGGGTGGTGTATGGGCCCCCAGCCCGCCTCCCCAGGCTGCTGGCCAACCTAGTGTAAATATTATTACACTCCTACGCATCTGAAGGACGTTAATTATTAAAACACATGCCACCCAGGGTAGTGCACTGTAATTAGGTTCAAATTAAATTAGCATCCTCTTGTAATTAGGACATCAATAACCACTCTTGAGACACCAGCTCTCCAGCCCCTCCCTCGTGCTTCCCAACATGGCCTGATGCAAGGAAAGGGGTCCATTGACTCTCTCCCCAGGATGCAGAAATAATCAAACTAATAAATAAAGCAAGGCGGCTACAGGAGCCTGTCCTCCACTGCTTGCCTTCCCCTGTCCTGCATGGAACAGGGAGAGGGAATATGAGTCTCCAGCATCAGTACCTCCCTATGGCCACCCCAAACCCTAGGCTCTGCTGCATCAGCCTCCGAGACCCAGGGACTCCCAAAGCCTGCTGGGAGATGGACCCAGGGCTGTGCTGGGTGTTCTTTGGGTCTTCAGCCCTGTTGGGTGGAGGCATGGATGTGTGGATGATTTTGCAGTTCAATAAGAAAGGAGGGCAGGAAGCAGAACCCATGATCCTGAGGTCAAGAAGCAAGTTCTACGAGGGTTGGGGAAGAACCTGTGGAGGCTCTTTTGATGCTACTTGCAAGTGCTGACACTGAGTGTACAAGCTGAGACAAAGGCAGAAAATGCCGTGCACACATGTACACATGCACGCACACATGTACACGCATGTGCGTATGCGCGCGGGAGCGCGCACACCCACCCACCCACCATTTGAGGGTCTCCCTCAATTTTGCATCCTGGTCCTAGCCCTCCCCAGGACAAACCTCAGGAACTCAACAGACTGGAGAGATAAGAATACCTCACTGGGGCTCATACCAGGCAAGCAGCGGCAGTGCCGTCCTACCTGGTGACTGCTTTGACCTTTGTCTAAACCAGCCTTGGAAGAGAAAGGAAATAAAGAGTGGGAAGGCCCAGGCATAATTTCAATTGGAAAACTAAGGAGGGTTTATCCTTGGGCACAGAGGTAACCAAGGCAACTGTTAAGACAGGGAAAGGATTTCAGACCCTTTACAAAAGAGTGGGCTGGCATCTTGCCCCTCTGCTGAGGGTGATCATCGTGAATACACAGCACCCTACCTCTTGGCCTTACTGGTAAGCATCTTGGAGGTAGAGAAGTGAGATGGGCACTTTCTTTTCCATGGACAAAAATAAAAAGAGAGGTCATGGTGAGAGTGCCCGCCTGCCTGCTGGGGGCAGGACAGCTTCTTCAGGAGTGGGTATGATGAAGAGATTCACAGATGTCACCATCACACTCCTGATTTGGTGGACCCCCAGGGGCACAAAGTCATGAGAAATGCAGTTCGCTGAACCGTAAAGGATCTGACTCAAGGAGTGCAGCACTTGCTCTGACCAGCCCCGTGGGGCTGCAGCAGAAACACAAGGCCCAAGACAGAGAGGCAAACGTGGTGGTTACTGGAGCTGAACCAACTCTGTACTTCTCCCTCTGCCCCTCCCTGGGTCTTCTCAGTCTTGCCTCTCTCCATACATGGGCACCCGGAGTCTGGGAGATACACACCTTTTTAGCTTAAAGGAAGAAGCCTATGTTCTTTTAGCTTAAAAGAACAAGTTTTGGGCTTGAGAGGAGAGCTGGCCAGTCAGTACTAACACCTGCACTGATGCTCCCGACCCGCAAGGTTGGAAGACTACTCCTATGGGGCAGCAGGGAAGACCTGATACCAGGTTTCATCAAAGTTCATGTCCAAGACGGGCAGGCATGGACACTGGATGTCCTTGGTGGTGACCTCAGCCTTTCTTCTTTCTCATATACACATACAACTTTACCTTCCTCCCTGGCATTCCCTGCATGTGACAGGGTCCTCTCTATACACCACATGGCTGCCATAATGGGTCTTCTCCCTCATGGGTGAGAACAGGAGCTAGTGTGGAGCACACAGATCTCCTTGCTAGGGTCCTGGACCTTTCTCAGAGCAGCCTGTCCTTCCAGTTCTGTTCTCCAGTGAAGGGCAAGGGGGCCTTGTTCTTAAAGCACTGTGAACCCGCCTCAGCAGGAACTGGGGAATTCATCTCACTGGTTACCCAATTCCCTTTGGGATCCTTGCTGGGGACCAAGCAGGACCTGCTGTAGTACAGTCAGCACCTCCCTGCCTGGGTCTGCTATCCAAGATTTTCTGAATCTCTAAGGTCCCTGTGGGCAGATATGCACAATGAATCAAAAAAGACATTTAGTCTTCTGTATGAAAGTCATGCTGCCAGGGGTGGCCACTAGGTCCCAGGAGTTGCTGGGGACCCTATGAACTGCCTTACTTCCCCAGTGGGCTGTGCTTTCAGGAGTTGTAGCCAGGCATTTGAATGACTAGTTGGGGGTCATTTGGGTGTCCCAGTCTCCTCCTGGCTGGGGCTGCTAAGATCCCAGGCTCTTGGCACGACAGTGAGAGCTGCAGACAGCAGGTACTATTTTATTGGGCCTTGAAAGCTTTAAATACAGAATGGGCTGGTGAGGGGGCAGATGTGGACACGCTGGCATTTGAGAGTGGATGTATCAGAGAAATCACATAATCAACAGTTGGACAGAGCTGGGGAAGGGCAGTCTGGGGTAAAGGTGGGAGCCAGCTGGCAGCTGGTCTTGAGCATCAGGATTACCCCCTTCACTAGGACAAAGTCATTCATATTTCTTCCTGATTTGAGGACAATTTTTTAAAAAACCACAAACCCCCAAATAAAAATATAAAATCGACTGGGAGAGACTCTGGACAGCAGTGCTGTCATCCCAGAGGAGGATGGCCTGTCCCCAGCAAGACTCAGGATACCCTCCTCCCCCAGCCCTGATGTCACCCTATGAGACATTTCCATACATAGAAGCAAAGCTGGACCAATCTACACCCCTCCCCGCAGGTCTGGAGTTGGAACACCCTCCTGGCAGAGGAAGAGTAATGGCGTGAGCGGTGCTGGGGGCCAGGCACAGTTCTCCTCAACGGCTGTAGCCAAACTCATCGGCATCATCAGCTCGGAAGTCTCCATAGCGCCACAGGTTCAGCTGCGAGAGGGAAGAGAACATGTCTGTTCAGGATGTGAGACCAGCTGGGACTCACTAGGCCAAGCCTCTCAACCCAGGATGCCCAGGGGGTACCGAGGCAAGAACTCACCCTGGCACTCTTGGCCGATTCCTGGGCATTCAGGTACTCCGTGATCTGAGGGAAAGAAAAGAAGGGAGCAGTTAAGACAGGGGCGTTCTCAGCTGAGCAGCCAGAATGACCCTGCAGATAGATGCTAGGTCAGCTCCATGCCATTCAGGGACTCAAAGCCCTCCAGGAATCCCAGTTCCCAGAGTAAGCACAAACAGTCACAGAGGTCTCCGGGTTCCTTAACTCTTGGCACTGGCTGTTCCATATGCCTGGAGCGCTCTTCCCCTGAGGTCCATTTGGCTATCTATCCTGTCCCAAGTTTTTTGATAAAATATATCTTCTTAATATGGCTTCAGATGACTCCATTTAAAATTATACGCCATTATGCTCCTGATCCTTTTAGTTTCATTTTTTTCTTTTTCCTTGTATTCATCTATTAACATTGTTTAATTTACTCATATTTGTTTTTATTTTTTGTCTCTTCATGCTTGAATGTAAGCTCCACTGGGCCGATGTTGTCTCTTCTCACAGATACATGGGAGGTCCTCAATAAACATTTGATAAGAAAATGAATCAATGAATGAACATGTGGTGGGTGTCTGCCTTAAGGACTGGGGCAAAAGAAATTCCTAGATGCCAGAGACTTTACAGGTAGCTACATAGAGGGACATTAAGATCTCCAATTCTATAGGGAGACTTTAGCTAAATCTTAGAAGCCATCTGAGGAAACTAGGGAGTCTCTGAGGGGAGGGGTCTGATTTTTTTGGAGAGAGAGTAGCAATTCATACAGGTTTCTTCTTCCAGAGACCACTGATGTGCACAACCAGTGCCCCTCATCCAACACCACCAGAGAAGCCCATGTAAATGGTGAGTGCCAAGTCCTCCGTAGTTTCCCAGTCTTCGGACCTTTCCAGGGACATTGAGGCCTTTAAGAAGTGTTGTGATAGTCCTTGTGGTGCTGCCTCCTGGGCAACTCTGACTCTGGGTGGCCTTGGGTGCTAGGACTTGGGTGTTGTACATTACGAAAAAGTAAGAGATTGGCAGAGACAGTGAGATAAGGCTTTGACCCTCTCTTACCCCTGGCAAGGCTTTCCAGCATGTCACCTGGGGGTACATACAAAGGGAAACTTTCCGCTCCAGTTTGCATTCTCAGCCAAGCCCGCAGCCAATTAATTTGGGATGTAATTAGATTTTTTAAAAAAAAAACCCAACAAACCCAAATCCATTATGTTTCTCCAGCAGGACCAGCAGGGTGGTAGATTCCCTACTTCCCCACTGGCTCTGGGTACAGCGCCCAGTCCCCTCATCTGTAATGATGGTGGTGGAGTGTGGGGGGACACTCTCTGTATCACTTACCACTTTTTGGAACTGTTTCTCTTTGCGCACCTCCACCATGACCAGTCCCTCCTTCACCAGGCCCAGCCCCACATCACCCTTAGAATCAGCAAACTGTAGGGTAACGTGTGGGCAGCTGGCACTCAAGTGTTCCACGTTGAGCAGGCACTGAGTGTTCTGGATATCCCGGACCACACTGTCCACGGCGTCTGTGCGAGCATCCTCCTGGAAGGGCCCCAGCAAGTTAGTGAGAGTGAAGGAAAACTAAGCAGCCACTTGGGCTCTGGGTCTTCCGTGGACCTCCAATAAAACAAAGTTTGCAGGGGCCTGTTGCCCTTCCTTTTGGGTCCCATCAAGGGGATCAGGTACTGGACAGGCAGAACCCCCTTCCCTTCACTCCAGGAATCTGCACATAAGCCATTCTATCTCGTATCTAAGGCCCCCACCTACCTATCCTGTGTCTCTTTTCCTGCCCCAAAGTAACCTCTGCTTGTTGCTCTGGCCCCTCTCATTTCCTACCTTCTGCAGTGTCTTACTCCAGCAGTGACCACATCATATCCCTGGTTTTGTCTTTGCTGGCATCTTGGGCACTTGTCACCCTCTGTCTCCCTACCCTTTTGACTTTCCTTCACTCATTTTGTGATACTCACCCTCAGTATCTTCTGTGGTTTCTCTTTTTCCCTTAGCCCATTTTACAAAAAGATAGGAAAAAGTCACCAATGCTAATTCCCAGCTTCCCCTTTGCTTCTGGCACCCTGCCACGGGTGGCAGCACCAGCCATGCTTCTCACACTCTTGCCCTCCTCAGAGATGAAGTCTCAGCCTGTTGGACCCCCACCCCCCACCATAGGGAGTGGGATCCCGTACACTGGCTTTCCCATTCTGGAAACCGAGGGCCATCTATGACCCTGAGCACACGTCTTCCCCTCTCACAGCATATTCTTCCTCTGGGCTCCTTGCGCTCAGGTGATGGGAATGCCAATACTCCGAAGCTTTTCTCTACTTTGCAACACACCTTCCACATACTCACCCCCATGGTCTTAATACTCAAACCCATAACTCTAGGTCTTTTCTCTTTTCCATATGGAAAACCATGTATCTGCCTGGAGGGCAGCTTCTTTTCCTTTCCCCTTGGCCAACAGCAACTTGTCCATGTGTGGGAAATCCAGTTCGTCCTAGATTCCTCCTTCCCTTATATCCCCACCCCTTTGATGCAGTTATGTATCTAAGACCTGTCCAGTCTTCCTTCATATCCCCACTTGATGGCCTTGGTGTGGCTGTTACTGTCTCTAACCTGGGCAGCTACAATTATTCCCTACCACTCTGCCCAGTCTCTCCCATCCACAATGCCACCAGAACTAACTTTCAGAAACAGATTTGGTCATGTCACACTCTGGCTGAAAATGCTGCCATTCCCCCTCTCACCCACAGTACAAAGAATAAACTGTCAGGGCAGAGGAGACCATGGTAACCAGGCCCTCACTGATCTTTCCCTTCTCATGTCCTGCCCCTACACATAAGGCTCCTAGGATCCATGTTGGTGACTTCTTCTTTGCCCCCATGCATTCTGGCTCACCAGGCTTCCCCATTTCTCTAGTCCCAGCTGAAACACTCTCATGTCATCTCTTTTGTGGTTCCTTCCCACAATTTTCATAGCCAGTCATTCCCATCTCCTGAGTCCTATCACTAACAATTCTTTACTGTTTTCATCTTTTCCTGACAGCCTGGGGAGACTATGGCAGTTACTGAGGGGACAGTCTCTTTGGAAGGAGGAAGACTCACATCCTGGGGCACCTGGATGAAGGCAAAGGCATACTCCGTGGCTTGAGCTGGCAGTACACGAGTGCTGAAGGCAGGGGGCAGGGTCCCCAGGCGGGTGGATGGCAGGATCTCTCTCTGCAGAGGAAGCACCAGGCCAACAGTATAACATATTCAATGATCCCTTGCTCTCAAGGACAACCCTCTGTGACAGGCCTCTGGGAATTCCAACTCTGGGTCTTCCTTGCTGGCCCACAACTTGGTTCTACTTAGCCATGCACAGCTGGTTAGCCCTGGAAGCACAGGTCCTACTGAGCAGGCAGCCAGCAGGGAAGCTGTGATTCCTGCCCTCTCACTCTGGGCTTGGTTCTGGCACACTTGGTGGTTCCCATTAATATAATCATGGTGACAGCTGGACTCCACTGTTTCCTTCCAATGCTCTTCCCTCTGTGGGGCTCCCTAACTATTACTCCACGAAGTAGGAGGATTCTGGAGGTGTGCTGGGGAGCATACTGAGACAGGGTCCCTGTAGTACATGGGCCTACCCCTGGTTCTGGCCCAGATGGGTGGGATCACCCCAATCTGGCAAGACCTTTTCCTTGTGTGTGCCCAGGTGATAAGTGGGGAGCATGGCCCAGCTCTGGGCTCTCTGTTAGCAGATTCCCCATGCTCATCCTTGAGGAGGGTTCGGGAGGAAAGTAGAAGACCGCAGTCACACCCCAGAAGCACCAAGTTCCTTGACTGTATCCTTTCTCCTGCTTGCTGCTAACTCTATAGGGAATCCCCCAGAGATTGTTCACAAAATCCCAGGACCAGCCTAGAAGCTTTTTCTCCCATGGGTATCCAGGTGCTCAGTCCTGTGACTGTCCCTTCCCAGGCAACTGGCTTGGGTATGTGTTGGGGATCTATAGAAGGAAAAGCCTGGCTCAGCAGGAGCACCAGGAGCTACAGGATGTAAAAGGCCTTCCTGTGCTATAGAGGCCCTGGGCGCTTCTTCAGGTTAGGCAGAAGGGAAAGAATGGAGGCAGTTGGGCCCTCATCCTTGATGGGGGTGGTTGGTGTGGGACACTTAGTGCTTCCAAGCCTCTGGCCACAGACATCCATTCTTCCCAGTCACTCAGAGCTCTGTCACTAAGCTCAGAGGGACCTCAAGAGATCAGATGGATTTTGCCTGAGGGGCTTCTGTGTGTGATGGTCCCTCCTTGGCTCCTCCTCCGTGGGCCCCCAACACTCACATTGCCGTAGTCGATGTAGAAGACATGTACTTTGGCAGGAGACTCAACTTTCTCTACTCGGGCGCGGTACCTGCAGTGGCAACACAGACAGAGCTCAAGGGACAGCCTTGAGGAATTCGGTCCCCTGGGAGCTTGGGGACATAGCATTTCCCTGCCTAGGATCTCCTGGTGTTGTCACAGAGGGCAACTCCTGGCCTCTATGGAAGCCCAGCCTTAGGGTGCGGTGGACACCATCTAATGGAGTCAGAGCAGAGCTGGAGCGCAGGAGGGAGAAGGGAGCATGTGGAGCAGATTAATGTGTCCTTGGGGCATAAAGCAACAAGACTAATGACTAGATTGATGTCTGCTGTTTAAACCCAGCACACTAAACAGCAGCTGTAATTAGCCGGCAGATCTGTCTGGGAGGCCGCAGCAGGGAACACATCCAAGTCACTTCGTCACCCTAGGAAGGCCATGGGCCCTACCCTTGGTGGATCACACATCATGACCTTCTTCTGGCCTGTGAGTGCTGTAGCTCATGTCCCAGACAGCAGAGGTGGAGGGTCAGGCGGCTGGTCTGGGCTCAATGTGAACCCGCCTCCGCCTCACTCTTGTGACATCATTCTTCCCTGAGGATGAGGGCTATGTTGGAGAGTTCCAGCCAGCCAGGCAGCACCCACCACGGCATTCCCCTGGAGAGTGGGAGGGACGCCACTTCATCTTTCAGAGGCTGGCTGGACTATAGGGACTCACAGGGACACCCTGAAGAGCTAGTGGACGCCATCACTAAAAACCCAGCGGAAAGGAGACACTAAGGCCAACCCCTGATATCCAGCTGTAGCTGTACAGGTCTGCACCCCAGGACAGCCTCGTTTTTCTCCTCATTAAGACTCGGTGCCTTGCTGGTCTGGGTGACTTACCATTCTCCATCTACAAATTTGGCAATGCAGAACTCTCCCCGGCGGGGAGCATAGGAGCCCTCTACAGGAGGATGGCTGGAGATATCATTGCGCATGTTCTCCATCAGCTTCTCCAGCTGGGTGCCTACAGGAGGAAGAGGGTAGAGAGTCCCAGCTGTCATGTTTTGCTGGAGCCTCATCTTGGGACTAAGTAGGGTGTGAAACTCTGGAGTATACCACAGCCTGCATTGCCCCCAGCCCAAGCAGGGCCTCTGGAGTCCCCATTCAAGATACTTCATGCTGTCCATCTTCAAACATGGGACACTTGGGGCCTTGTAGGAACACTGTCTTCCAGACTACTGGCCGGGACTGTGGAAGCCCTTGGGAATGTGCTTGGGCTGTGAGTGAGGAGGTGGGAAGGGGAGTGGACAGGAGCAATGTCGAGCCAAGCAGCCTTCTCCACAGCGAGAGCTAGCCAGCCTGGCTCCTTCCTTCAAGGGCCAGATCCTGGCCTAGGCCACAGAAGTGTGACTGACAGAAGCCTCTCTGTCTAGCGTCTCCTGGGGGCAACAGAAGTGAAGAAGGATGGGTCCCATGAAGCCCTGGACAGGAAGAGGACTCAGAATTGAAACCCTAAAAGACGAGGGTAAGAATTCTTGAAGCAGGGCCCAGAGCCCCAACTATTCAAACTGGACTGCTCTGACTCTGTCACTTTGTGAGATCCGTGCTGAATAGAACTTCCAGTGCTGCCAGGCTGGGCTCCTGCATGCTGCATCCCACCCTTGTGACTCCTTTCAACAGAGGGCAGCGAGTCCCTGTCCTCTGCTGCTTATCTACAGGTTTTCTGTGACAATTTCACCACCTGAGGCCTCCTTAGTTTCCCTCTCTAACTTGTTCCTGCTGTACCCTCCCTGCCCCCACCGTGCTAGGTATCCGTCCCCTGTGGTTTCTACTTTTGTGTCCCTTCTGGCTTTGATTCTATCTCTGCTTAGACCTTTGCTGCCCCTCTTCTCTCAGAGTTGAAGACTGGGCTGTGGACATGTGGTCTAAGTGTAGGACCTTTCTCTCTCCAGGGCCGAAGGCCAAGTTGTAACAGCAGAACACATGTTTATTGTTGTTACACTCGCTACCATTGGCCCTATACATTCCTTGTCTGTGTTTGTTTCTGCCACTAAACTGTGTGTTCCTTCAGGGCACAGAGCCTAGCTCACTCGTTTCTGTTTACTTGCGTAAGGCCTAGGAGAATCCCCAATGCATGCAGGGTGCTTAATAATTCAACTGCACTGAAAATGATCTCTGCATATGCACACAAAGACACATGTCCACTCTCAGGCTACCGCACAGCTTTAGCCCTAGCATTCACACGACTGTGTGAGCACAGGGACTCTTAAGTAGCGCAGATCCCTCTCACCCCAGAGGCCAGGCCTCTCTAGAGTCACACACCAGGGACTAAGTGGAAGCCTCTACATCCACAGGTTCTCCCTTACTTGATCTATTTTTATTTTCTTATATTTTTTGTTTCAGGGCAAGAGAAGTAGGCTTTTGCCCTCTGTGAACAGGCAAAACCCTCTGGGAGGTCCTTACACAGAGCTAGTTGATCATTTCCAACCTGTGTCGATGCTTTCATCAGATCTTTCCTGAAAGTGGGCTTTAATTGAGAAGGGGCAATAACAAGAGGATGTCCCCAAGGAGATGGACAGTACCCTAAGTGGGAGTCTATGAATCTATTTTCATGAGTTACATGGAGCCACCTGAGGGCAGCAGGTTCTTCTCTGAAGCCCACCACAATCCACATGGCATTCCAAGAAGTACCTCACTCCTGGGTCTCCCCCTATGCTCTGAACATGCGTTTTTCTCTTTTCCCTTATTGTCTGCCTCAGATAACATTCCCTTTAGTATCCTGGTTTCCTAGAGCTGCTGGAGACAGGAGGTGGGGTTTACTGTGGCAAGGCAGCCACAGGAAGACTTGTTCCCTCCAGTGTTGCCCCCTGGAGACTTCAGAGCCAGTTGTTATTCACAGTAGGTCCTCCCAACCTGGGGCAGGCTGGGGAGTCTGAGTATCCTAGGCAGGGTCTACTCTGAGCTCCCTTCCCCAGGGTCTCTGAGGGCCTGGCTCCTTGGTTAATGAGCAACTCTGATTCTTCCCTAGAAACACACCACAAAACTGGGTCTTCCCTGCCATACAGCCCAGACCTGGAGGCTGGCTGCTTCCTGGGTTCATTTCCAAGGCGATTGCTGGGCCAGCTTTCACAGGATTGTGGTCAACCTCAAGAGAACCTAATCCCGAGGATTTAGCCACATCTCTACCCTCCCCCGTGTCTTTCCTTTCTAAGCAGAGCCAGCCCAAGGCCAGAATTGGTGAAATGACATTGCCACAAAAGCAGCTGCCTAGAAAATGTCATTAGAGGGGAAGTAGCTGAGACGAGACTCTTGACAATCTCGAGTGGGCCTGGGTGTGGGGGCAGAGCCACATCCCGCTATCTATGGGGCTGCCCACTAAAGGTGCCAGAGACATCTGTAGCCTCCTCTGCCAAGGATCTGATTCCTTGGACCCAGAGGCAGTTCTAAGAGCCTTTTCCTCTGCTCCCAACTAACTTGATTCCCAGCACCAAGGGTGGGGGTGGGAGGGGTTGGGGGAGGTGTGAGAAGAAGCAGAAGAATAAAGGGGATGGGGAGGAAAGAAGAAGTGGGAGAGTAAAGGGGTAGAGATGAAAAGTGGGGCCAGCTGCTGACAGAGCCATCTCCACTGCCCTCTGTCCTCCAGAGGCCTGAGGTCTCTGACTAGGGGACTGGCCACAGTACACAGTCCTCAAGCACAGGAGGGAGGAGAGGGTCCTTCAGAAAGACTGCCAGGGGATGACTTCCCCTGGAGCCTGCCTGTTGCCATGGAAACTAGCCACCACTCCAGCTATGCTAACCTCTGGAGAAGGAGAAGCCAGGCTGTCACCTTCCCTGGGAAGTTGGGGGTGGGGGACCGAGCCATACTGGCTGGTGCTTCCTGACTATGTACAGAAGATTTTCTCCTTGCTTCCTGACAGACTTTGAGGGCTACAAATCCTTATGCTCAGCTCAGCCAGGGGTGTCTGGAAGCAAAACCATTACCTAAGAGTCTCAGAGCACCACCCAGACAAATCTGTTATCTCACCCGTCCTCAGAGGACCTGTTAGCCTTGCCACCCCCTGCCTCCTGCCCTGTCTACTCATGGGCTCACTTGTACGTTCCTGAGATGAATATTGGGCCCAGGGGGCTGGAGGTAGGTAGCAGAGTCATAGGCTCTGCAGGGGAGTCTCCTGGAACCTTGGGC